TTAATCAGCCAGATGAAATAGACATAAAGGACAATTGGAGTCGGTACACACTGACACGTGTGGTCTTATGAACATCCAAGCAAGATTACTCACGTTTTGGATAAGTTTATCTGATGCAACACAAGTCTTAAACTCTTGGTATTTTCTGAGAAGGTTAAGACTGATGTGGAACACATATTAGGTAAACTTGTCAAGACACTTCGATCTGATCGAGGATATGAGTATTTCTTGGGATAGTGCAAAGACTATATGGTCAATGAGGGTATTATGTACCAGTTTTCCGCAATTGACGCTAAATGTATTTAGGTATCAAATAGGAATAACAGAATTCCACTTAACATGGGTAGATCTATGATCAGCTATGCTACATTATCTCTTTCATTTAAGAGTTTAGCGTTAATGACATCGATGCGCATTATGAACTGCATTCCATCTTAGTCTGTCTCAAGGATACCGTTGAGCTGTGTTTTTTTACTAAATATTAGTTTGAATCATATGCACATATGGGGTAGTCTTGCACATGTGCGCTTGATATGGACAAGTAAGTTGGAAGCAGATCATAGGCATGCTAGATTTGATAGCTACTCTAAATGTCACTAGGATGGATTATTTTCTGATCTCAAAGATAAAAGTTAATTGTTTTCACTCACTGTTTATCTATAGGAGAATCATATTATGAATCACATACCTAGTAGCATAATGTTAGAGAATTTGGTATGAGTACCAGATGTACCACATGTGAACACACTTATTATAGAGATTGAGAATAATATATGAATTCCCTATTGATGCGTTAGCATCATCTACTACACAGATTCTTGCATCGGTACATTGATGTAGTGGAAGGATTATTATCCAATTCGACAGAATCATGTTTTTAGGTGAGACCATTATGGACATCCCTGTTAAACATGAGTTGGACCCAGTAAGCTCCACGGAAGCGTGAACCGATGTGGATACAGATCGTTTTGGTGAGTTACTATGAATCAGAGTTGGAATCGATGTATTCTAATAAATTTTGGGATCTTGTAGAACTTTCTAGTAGGGTGATTCCTATGGAAGGCAAGTTAATCTACAAAAAGATACCAGAAGATTTCTTAGTGACTAAATCATGAGTGTACAAGGGAATGTCATTATTTTTCTAATTCTATATATATTGATGACATCCTACTCATTTAGAATGATGTGTAAGCTATATTCCTACGATCAAGCTTTTGCAAGATCAGGTTAAAAGGAAAATAGGCTTATCTTAATAATCCTACATTGATAAAGTTTTGACCAGGTTTGGTATGCATAACTCAAAGAATGAGTTCTTGCTTTATTGATATGGATGGCTCTCTCTAGTAAGTAGTTTTTCAAGACTATCAAAGGAGATTGAGCAAATGAGACTGGAACAATATGTTTCGGCATATGAGAGTCTCATATATGCCATGGTCTATACCAAACAGGACATCCGCTACATAGTAGGGATAGTCAGTAGAGATCAGTCCAATACTGGACTTGACAACTGGTCTATTGTGAAAAATATCATTAAGTACCTAAGGAGAACCAATGATATCATATTCATTTATGGATGTGATGATATGGTCCTAGTCAGGTATGCTAGTTCTGATTTTCAATCAGAAGTAGATACTATGAGGTTCATGACTCAGTGTATGTTCACTTAATGGAAGGGAGATCAGTTGGTAGATTGTTAAGCAGATTTCAACTGCTGACTCAAACCTGTAGGTGGAATATATTGCAGCCTTAAAGGCGGCAAAGGAAGCCTATTAGTTTGATCTCACTGATTTAGAGGTTGTGGAGTATACTAGCCTGCCTATTGAGCTATGTTGTGACAATAGTGCAGAAGTAGTCCAAACCAATGACCCAAGGTTCCATAGAGGAACAAGATACACTGAGAGGAAGTATCATGTTCTACATGATATTGTCCGGCAAGAAAATGCACTTGTAATTAGAACATTGCATTGGAACACAACTTTGTTAATCCATTATCAAATGTGTCATTGATCAATAATTTTGATCATCATCTGGATAACATTGGAGTTAGATGCAATTTGAATTGGCTATGAGGGCAAGTGGGAGCTGTTGGGATTTATATGCCCTGGCATAGCAAATTCCTATCTGGATTATAGTGACATATGTTCCTGACATATCTGAAATATTTATGATTTATATAATTGGTGAATTCAATGTATTATATTTCGATTCACTATGAAATTGATAGTGTCCATGTAATTACAAGAAATATTTATGTATATGTATGTGATGGCAATCAATGCATGATATATAAATAGTAATTATAAATTGTTCATAGTCGGTAATTATGGATGGACTCATAATTAATTAAGACTTGAACTAGATCCGCGTTAGGTTGAGATATATTGCGAGAGCCGTCGTATGCAATTACTCCCTATCATCGTCATGGCATTTGACTCTTAAGCATGAGAAAAGTATAGACTCTTTTATTAATTAATAATTACTTTGATTTGTTCGGCGGATTCTTCGGGATCCTTAGACCGACACTTCGGGTAGTTATGTAATTAATAGTTAGAGGGTTATATTTTCAATATTTGCATCATTGCTACTCGTATTTATTTTGTATTGATTATGGTTGATCACAAAGTAAATTCGAAGGCCTTCGTATGATTTTAGACAAAATGATTTATTATATATTTATTTATTAAATTATTATTTTTGTCGAACAAATGTTTTATTGTGATCGAGCCAGAAATAATCAGAGGTACCAAAATAGATATATTAATTAAGTAGTCGGATTGATGGCCTTATTTATCCGATAACTAATTATGCATAGAGGGGTCAAAGTGCAATATTGACTTAAAGGTTATTTATTATTTAATTGGAGTTCAATTAATTTCTTTTAGTGGAGTAGAAATTAATTTATGAATTAATTGAATTAGGTCCATGGACCGGGCCAATTATTAATTCATTGTAGCCAATAAAATAATAGGACCAATGGATTCTCACTCATAACCCAACTTGATATTGGAATCATATTAGATTTGAAACATATGAATTAGAGATGGAGAAGGATTTGTTGTTTCCTTTTCTTTACCTTTATGTTACCTATAAATATACATGGTCTATGGATATTTGAGAAGTGATTTTGAGTAGAAGAAAAAAAAGGAATATATTTTCTCTTTCTAGAAAATTAGGGTTTATGTTCTCATCTAATGGAGGCTCCCACAAGCCTAGTTTTTCAAGGTCATTCATGGAGGCATATGAGTGATTCCTAAAGGCAAAACAATTACCAAGAAGATGGAGATCCAAGGAAAATGCATCTTGCTAAGGGATCTACAATAAGTGAAAACATTCACTTTAGAGGAGAGATCTAAGGTTTACTCAAACCTTGATGTAAATATTCAATCTTTTAATTGAATGATACATCATATTTTATTTTTGCATAAAACTTGTCTCTATGTGATGAATCAAGATCTATGAATTTAAATCTCTCGAAAATTTTTTAAAACTAGCACGTTTCTCAACACCATCACCAAGGGGATCAAAAATTTGCAATTTACTCAATAACTCCTGAATATCAGCAATTGAGTCACACCGAACAATTAATTCAGTGAGTAGAGAGATTTGAATAGACGACTTAATGTGCAAAATATGAGCCAATAGATCACCTTTATAAAGTAAATGTTCAGGCTACAATTAAGTGCGCTATATTAAATACAAATACCAGTTCTCCAGCTACATCCACAGCAATTCCATACAATTGGGTGCTCATTGCTAAGTACTTTTCAGCAACCAAAATTTGATTATAATTTTTTTCTCAAACAATTCAACTTATTGACTTCAGAATGTAATTCTTTTTCTTAGTCACCCAAAAAAATATATATATATATATAGATATTGAAATCAGAAGGTATTTAATTGATTTTCTTGTAAAATTTGCAGAGGAATACAAAGCTTCTAATATAAACAGAATTTACATAACACCAAATAGAGAGAGATAGAGAGAAGTTGTCCAGTTAACACCAAATTAAAGTCAAATTAACATCAAACTTAACACTGAATCCATAAAAATTAGCACCAAACCGATCTATCTCCACCAGGAGAGTGACTGTGACGGATCTATTTCCCAATTTGAGCCAACACATTCTGCAGTTACTTCACTTAATCACACAGCAAACATTTTCAATGTAAAAAATGAAGAAAACAATGAAAGAGGAAAGAAGAACAAAAACCCCAAACCTTCGAGCTATGGTTTTTGTTCAGTGAAGAAACACAAAAATGAGTTCATCTTGTTCAGCTGAAGAGAATGTTTACCTAGTCTATCGGCAGTCGGCGGAGAGTCGCCAGAAGTGGATTGCCGATGTGTTAGAGAGAGAGAGAAGGGTCGGAGACGAAGATGAGAAGATGAGAGAGAGAGTCAGCCTGAAAATCACGTGATTGTAGGAATTAGTTTCTCTATCATCAGGTCCACAGGTGAGAGAGAGAGAGTTGGTATAGTGATTTGAAACCACCACGTGCTGAGAGAATAAAGTGATTTATAATTTTTAAAAATTAGTCCGAAATCACCTGACAAGACAGGCCTAGAAATTATAAAATTTTAAAATAGTTTTAGTGGCAGACCACAATTGAGTGAAAATTATAGAATTTTAAAATAGTTTTTAGTGGAGACCACAGAGGCCAAATTCGAGGGCTAAACCTGTCTCACAATGGCCTATGCGGAATGATCCCAACATTTTATAACCTTGCTACATAAGATGGAGAACTTAAACCTCTCATTTAACAACTTGAGCGGAAATATTGCTTCAATGTTTGGAATTTATTTGATATGTATTTTGTTTTCGATATTTTATTTTAGTTTTAAATAAAAATAACACTACAAAAAAATTGACTCATAGGAGCGATTAAAACCGCCGTTGTATCTTATTGCAACAACGATCGTTTGTTCAGGCGTTTAAAGTGCCGACACAATAGCTTTTTGAGTTACAGAGGCGGTCATAACCGCCCCTTAATCACAGTATCATTATAAATAAATAATTAGGATATTGCGAGTGTCGTAACAGCCGCCAGAGTCACATTTACAACATTAAAATAATCCAGCTTCACGCACTTATTATAATAGTAGATGAAATATCAATGCATCTTTTCTCTAGTTCAAACTCAAACATAAACATCTTAATTTTCTCTTATCCATCATCTCAAGGGCTCAAAAGACAATTTAATTAAAGAAATTACAGTATAAATAAAAGAAAACTACTATAAAAACATTTTATGTATGCAGGTATCTGTAAGAGGAATTATGTCTCGCCCATCTGGATTTACTCTCTTGCAAATATTTTTCATCATCTGTGGTGCTCCAAACACACAGCTGCACAAACAAACTAGAATCACCATCTGCATAATCCAACATGTAACATTTTGCCAACTTAATCAATATTTGGTTTGTTATATGAGATGAAATAACTGGAAATATAGATGAAGCCTAAAGGAATCAACAGTTCAACATATGTATTTATCTTACTAATGACGTTAGTTTTAAAGAATCATTGATCCCAACCAGGGCAGCACTTGCAGTCTAGAATAAGGTGGCATGCATCAACATCTACCACGTGGGAGTGAAAAAAATTAAAGTAAAAACCCAAACACTAAGCTAAGTAAGAGATTGCGGAATTCTGCACACTATTGGCCATCACTTGGTGTTTTCTCTTCTTTTAAATTTCTTAAATATAAGTTACTGCATTTTCTAACATAAACAAAAAAAAATAATAAATAGATAAACATACTACCTCTAATATCCTACCCGAGAAGCAGCTCCTGAAGATACAAGGACACGTAGAACACTAGAGAAGGCAAGGCCTGTTATTCTTCACCTGAGGGCATTTGAAGATGCTTATGAGGTATGTAATGGAACACGCCAAATGTTAATTAAATAATCGCTGTATCTATCAGCAAACTTACAGACATTAGCTTCAATAAATAAAATGTTCTTTTGATGGAGACAGCGACTCTCACCAATGCAAACACTGATGCTCTTGAGCGGTTGGATCTGAAATGCTTGATCCAACAGTTGCCCAAGTTTGTTTCAAGTAAATATGGTAGCATTCAAAATGAATTTACTATAAATAGATATTTTTTAAAAATAAAAAAAGAAATTTAATAAACATGCATGTGCACAAATACGCACACTGAAATCCTAAACATATCAATTGTCCCTCATGTCAGAAATATGAATGGAGACCCAATATAAAAAGGGTTCATTATGGCATATATTAGGTTATACATCTTTGAAGGAGAGGTTTGTTTAGGTACATACAACCAAACCTCAGATCAAAACCCAACACAGAGAGGAAAAAGAAGCTCAATTCCTCATGTCAATGCCTTCTTTCTCCTTTCTAACCTCCTCATGCCAATGCCTTCTTTCTCCTTTCTAAACAATGTTGTTTCCACGGAAACCTTTCCAAGCAAATTTATTCAGAACACAGAAGCGATCAATCCATAAAAACTCCTTCAACTAGCATTACTCATCCATAAGGACACACACACACACACACATAATTATATATGAATCTTAACCATTTACTCCAAACCAGTCATCACAGATAATGTCTAGTTCCAAACATGTGTTCCTACATCCTAAATTTGTCAATTCTTCATACAACATTTTCCATTCTATCAAAGAACTTAATAATTAGGAATTCTCCCGTGGCAGTGAAAATACGATAACCAAATATGACAGATGCTGGAATACCAAAACTGGAAAAGAAATAATGTGTAGGACCTCCATACCTTGTCCATTGCAAGAAGCCTAGCACCATCTTTGCTGTGAGCTTCTAGAACCTCTCTGCTATTATACAAGGGAGCCATTTTCTTCTCAAATTCAGTTCTAGGTTCAAATTCAGAAGCAATTGCCCTGATAGTTGAAAAGTCCAGATCTACTTCTTTGTCAACATAACAAGTGTGTGCCTCCCTATTTCTCTTGACTAAAGGCCCCCACTTATTAATGTCCTCCTTTGATTGTTCATAAGTTACCTTCCTCACCACTTTTTTCCCCTCCACTTTTTCTCAATCTGGTTTAGAAAGCGGGCTTGAATGGACTTTGATTCTCTCTCCATTTTTGAACACTCTTCCTGAGTATTCTGAAACTAGACTTTCCATGAAGGGGATCCAACAGGTGCTGAATGCTCACCATCCAGAACATCACAACTAGGATTATTCAGACTCCGGAATTGCCTCAGATATGACAACATCATTTTTCCTCTTCAGACCAGTCATGTTTTTGATTGCTTCAAAAATGCAATAGAAGGATAACTTTTAGAATCATCAAATGTAATTATTATCTTTTTTAATCAGTTCAACTGAAATTCAAACGAAAATTCTGAAAGTTAAATAGAAATTTGAGAAAGATGAACTAACTCTAAATTTTGAAAGCACATGCATGTCCAAAATCATACGTGAATCAATTCAGTTAAGTTCAAATTAGAGTGTGCCATAAAAATCCCCTGAAATTTTGCAAACTAAAAGCAATTCTTTCAAATTCAGTTCTATTCCTTAAACTTCAATTCACTAGAACAGTGTTGATTTGCAATGGAACCAAAAACCAGCCCTTAGAAGCAGAAATTACAAAACAAAAGAAGCACTACAACAGTTATGAATTACCATCATTTCCAGCAATGACCACTGGTGATTCCAGTGTCGCTAGGCCTTTACCAGCGCATTTCAAAGAGCGCTGATATTAAGTCATTACCAGCGCTAATTACAAAGCGCTGGTATTTAGTCTTTACCAACACTATTTATAGAGCACTGGTATTAAGGCTGCGTTGATTTTATGAACGCTGGTATTTAGTCATTACCAACGCTTGGGGGGGCTTTTTATGATTACACAGTTTTTTTTGCCTTTTTTTCTTTCCTCTAACCTTTTTATAAGTACCATTTACAACAAATAGTACTTTAATATAAACCTTAAATGCCAATATGAAAATACAATCCAAATGTGTAATAGATTTGAGCAACCAACAAGAATAAGAGTTTACATAAATAATAAATAAAATTGCTAAAGAAGTTTTCAGAAAAGAAGTAAATACAACCAAAAGAAGTTTTCACAACAGTAGCGAACACAACCACATGTACTAGAAGTTTTCACATCAGCCAAGGAAATTAAAAATGCACGACCCTTGCATCTTCAAACTTTCTTTTTTCTACCTCTTTAATAAGTGAAACTTCAACTCCAACTCCAACTCCTGCCCAATCAAAAGTTTTACATTCAGCACTCAACAAATTGAAACAGAAACTAAAAAAAAAAAAAATCAGGATTAACAACTCATGGTAACGCAGTTATTATTGAAGAGACTGGGATCACATTATAACTTAGCACGCACAAACAAATACATACAAAATAATTAAATCAAAGCTTTTCATTTGAACTTAGGTGCCTAAGAAATGATTCTTTTTCTTGCAAACCGGAATGCAGATCAATGGAAGACCTATCAATTGGAAATATTTGAAGAGGTATCAACCAGCCATGTTTGAACTAATGGAAGAAGAGGTACCTACACTCAGCCAAGTCATTGATGTGGTTTTTTTTAGTTTTCATTTTATCAAGTAGGAAATAAAAGGATCTGCTGCTTTCTTGGCAGGATTTTTTTTTAATTTACAGTTATACACATATTTTCGTTCATGGTTATGTTGCCCCAGAATATGCTTTGTATGGGCAATTATCAGTATTCAGTTTTGGGGTTGTGCTTCTTGAGCTATTGAGTGGGAAAAATGTTGTTTTGTCTGTAGATGGGGGTCAAGCTCAGCTTTTGACAGATTGGGCTTGGTCACTAGTGAGGGAGGGCAGAGTGATGGATGTCATCAAGAAAGGTATTCATGAGTTGGGCTTGCCTGAAGTAATGGAAAATTATGTTCTGATTGCTGTTCTGTCCACTCATCCACAGTTATATACTAGGCCATCTATGGAACAGATTGTAAGGATATTGGAGAGAAACCATGCTATGGTTCCCCGGACTCCAGATTGCCCACTATCCTTTATAGCAGAAAAAAGTGGTATAGAGAGATCACTTACATATGCTCGCTCGGGTTCTGATCAGCAGCCATTTCACATTGACAACCTGCATTCCAGTTTGAATCACAGGGAAGATGAGGAAGTTACACTTACACATGCAGTGTAAACTACTTAGAGTTCTTGCTCCCATTTTAGCCATATACACAAAAGACTAAAAGAGTCAACTATTTTATTGCAAGAAGAGAATTAGAGCTTGTATTATAGATATTTTTTTTTTCTTTCTATACTATGACTTAACTGTACTAATATAATTTGATTCCAAACTTGTAAGTTAAATAGCTTGAAACAGCAGAATCTGACATACATATCAGAGTGGCATGTTCAATGTTGGGATCAAAGTAGGAAGAAATTTTTTTTTTGTAGTCACTGTTGGGATAAAGGCAAGGATAATTAGTCATCTAAAATAATGGAACACGTGGAAAATTATGTAGAAACTTGGGAACAGTTGCTTGTATGCATATATGTTCATTTACTTCACTACTGTGAGAACTTTGGTTTGTCATTGGTGAAGGATTCCCCTTTTGACACTGAAACCATTAAAGTTTCAGTTGGATACATTCAATGAATGATTTAAATTAAACACAAGTCATCTTTCACAGAACTGCAGGAATATGTAACACTTAGAAAACTATGTCTGTTGCTTCTCATTTAGATGCTTTTTAAACAACTGAAACTGCAAGATTTATTGATATCTAATGATTGTTAGTAGCTGAATGACACTTACATTAAACTCGTAAAAAGGGACAGATCAAACTTTTTTGCGAAATTATGGGTTCAGTGTAATCCTCTCTTTGGTTAATAAGAAACCAGATGAAAGGAAAGGAAAGGAAATAATGCCACACCAACTCAACTAAGATCAGTCTTGTACATTTACTTGAGGGAGTTAAACAAAAGAACCTGATGTTAATTTATTTCACTCTTTTTTTTCTCTTCCCCTTAGCTTCCTCAAAACTAAATAGAGCTAGAAGGAAATGGAAAGAAGCAAATAGGAAGTGATATAAAGAGATACATACGTTATAAGTGGAGAGGAGAACAGGTGAATCCAAGAGATCAGCTGGGCTTAACAGTGAACAAAAAAATTTACATTATTCAACCATTAAAGGATCAGCACATATATATAAAATAAAGAAAAATAATTATAACAGAACCATTAGAGAATCCTCAATGAAAATTTTATGTAGTTTTTTTTATTGCAGAACATTTAACATCGGCACATTATCTGACTTTTCGCTTTTTACCAAGATTTTGGACAGACTATTGTTGCTTAAAAAGTCAGAAAATGTGCTGATGTATATCGCAGCTGATTTTGACAGTAATCTGAAACCAAGAGCAGTGAATAGTTAACATCAATATATATAAATTGAACCAAATATGAAAAAAAAAAAAACAAAAAAAAAAAAATCGCAATTACTAAGAAGAATAAAAGTAATAGAAGAAAGAAATAACAGAAGCTTGCTTTCAAAAGGTAAAATGAACATCTAACTGCCAATATGAAAAAAGTAAAGCCAAATGCAAGAGTTTTTGTTCTTGCCTTCATTTCACGGAACACTCTCCCCCTCCCTTCCCACCCAGCAAATGAAGGAAAAAAAAAAAAATCAACACCCGATCCAAATCACGATCTAATGCTATTATATGGAATTTGCTATAACTGAAATTCTTTAATTAGATTAAGGCATTTTATCAAACAGCTCAGACTTATAGTTAGTAAAAACTTTATTGTAAAGACATTGAACAAGAAACTAAATAATTTTTTTTGTTAAAAACTCATACACTATTATTTTAGACCAGCATTACCAACAACTATTTGTTGTATTGATAAATTAATAGTCATAGATATGTATTTAGGGTGCAGATCATCTACATATATACACAGAATTTTTCAGCAATTAGCATTAGCATCATGCCACATCTAAATGCTTATGGACTTCTGGGAGAATTTAACCCTCAATTTCAACAAAACTATACAATGGCACTAAGCATTACAACAAAAAGATGTAATTAAAATCTAGAAATTACGTCCAAAGGAATATAATGAAGAAGAAGAAAAAATGTGAAACCAATCTTACAAGTCACAATTGTCCACCACAACAATTATTAGAAAAAAATAAAAAATTAAACCGTTAATAGGATAATAAAATCTCCAGCCCTTTGGCAATAAATCAATCAAGAGGAAAAATGATTAATCCAAAACAGCTTTATATAAATTACAATATAAGCAATGAATGTATGAGCAATCAATTATAAGGATACAACAAAGGGCCATCGACAAAGACCCTGATAACAGTGAAGCTCCAATCCCATCAACTGATTCGTCCTTACTTAGTTTTTCATCCTCAATCACAAACTCCTCCAACCTCCTCAACAAACTCTCCGCCCTCTGATTGTGTGCAACCTCATTTGAAGACAAATCATAGACGTACTCGCACGAATTGAAGCCCGTGGCGATTACGACAACTTGATTGACTTGGTTGAGAAGTAGAATGGAGTTCAAGACTGAAAGGACCTGTGTGAATTCGTGAAGATGAGAGTCATTGGTGAATTAGGGGATATTAGTTTTAGAGAGAGAAAGTTAGGGTTTACAGAAGAGTTACGAGAGAGGAACTTGGAGAATGAAAGAGTGTTGGTTGTTGCGTTCCTGAAGAAAGGGTTTGTGTCCATTAAGACCGTGAGAGGGTTAACATCATATGCAATTACAGAATCAAACACGAATTCGTAAGAGAAACATTTATATTTATAAAGATATGTGTGTGTAGAGAGAGAGAAGAATACCTACGTATTCCTTCGATAAAACTGGTGTCATACTTGCGTATTCATTGGGGCAAGCTTGAAAGTCGAGAGACAGCGGGCCAGCGGTTGAAGCTTGCGAACGGCGAACCCGAACTGGAACAGCGGGCGATGGAAACTGAAAGATATGGGTTTTGGTTTTTTGAACAATCTGAAATGATACGCCGATATGGGTTTTGATATAGGTAATAGGTTTTGAACTTTTGATTCTAGCAAACAGATAGATAAACTGAAATATATGGGTTTTGAACTTCTGATTCTTGTAGATTTTGTAGTTTGCAGTTGCAGAGACAGAGAAAGGGTAAGTTCAGAGTTGAGAACGAGAATAGAGATAGAGGCGATTGGGGAGGCTGAAGAGAAACCTAGGGCTTGAAGTTTGTAATGTCAGATGAGATCATGGTTAGCCAAATGGTAAAGTTAGCGAATAGTGAAGTGAAATAATATTAGAGTGTAAAATTTTCCCGCGTTTGTTTTAATGTAAAATAATTTTTTTAAATAATATTTTTTTAAAAAATAAAATATATATATATTTATATTTTTGATATTTTGTAAAGATCGAGGTCGAGTCCATCGAGCGAGACATGTTCAAACAAATGGAGCCTAAATTTTGCACTAACCAACATCCGGTTAAAATACATATATAGCGTTATTTTTGGTTGCTGAAGATGTAAGAAATTTCTCCCTCGATTTAGAAAGAACAACTCTACGCTTCAAGAATTTTTCCAACCCTTTTTTCCCTCTACTTTCAGCCTATTTATAGATTGTTACAAACCTTCTAGAAGCTTCTTAACTAACCCCTTGAATTGGGCTGCCCTTATGGGCTCCTCTTAGTCATGGGCCTAATTCTTTTGAACGGGCCTTCAACATGATCTCCAGTCCTGGGTCTAACTTGTGAAGACCCTGTTTGGAGCAATGCCACTTACCCGACCCACTTCTAGTGATCTGGATCGTGCCTGGCCCATGCCCTTTTTTGGCATCCTCATCTGCCCACATAATCTCTCCCTAATTAATTAGGGTGAGATTATCGAAGGGATCTGATCATGACTTAACGGCTCGAGATGATGACGTGGGGGAACGAGTGGTCGGTTCAGAAGTCGATGTTTTGAAATTTGAAATCTCTTCACTTTCCTAACGTCTCAGTTACTGGGTCTACTTTCCCTTTATAAATCCCCCAATCCGTACTCTTAGCTTTCTCTATTACCTTCGTCACATCTCTTGTCAATCAACTTACTACTCATTCCTTCTAGACAAATCAAATCCTCCCCGGCGAATTCTTGCGAAAGGTTCTCCCTTCTCAGCTATCTCGCAACATCTTTTGCAATCTCTAATCCCTCTAAGGTTAGTCTTGTTTTTCTTTGTCTTTTGAAAACTTTACACATTTCACTGAGGACTCAGTCCATCCTTACCATGATCGTTGATTTAGACATTCTTTGCATGAAACTTCAGCTTCCTAGCAATATTCTTATTAGGGAGTGCCCAAGAATGTGAACATTAGAACTGGTGCAGGTCTTCTTCCTGGTAAATCCTGTTCTCCCTCCTTCACCTAAATGTTGTCAGATTTCCTTTGCACCCTTTTTTCTATTATGTCTTTAATAGACTAAAACTTCCCCCCTCTTCAAGTAAACCCCAATTTTTATAGAGTTTTATCCGTTCTCTTGCTTCTGAATCGTGACAGGAGTTTAGATCTTGATATTAGATCTTCTCCTTTGCTGCAGGGTCAGTAAGATCAGGTTGGATGACATGTACTACCATTTTTTTCCCATTAAAAAATGATCCATCTGTATGGATAAACTTGACTCCGAGAAAAGGTGGAAGAAAAACACAGTTGGGGTTAGAGGAACCTGGTTTGCTCCTACTACTGGGACTATCCCATCTTGAGCACCTTTGGTGAATGCTTTGTCTCTTCATACAAAAAATACAAAACCCACAAGAGTGACTTCCTATGTGAAGTTTGCATTCTTTGCTTATGTACTTTTCTTTGCGATTCTCTAGGTATTCCTCATTATGAATTGAGTTACAGCATTTGCAGGGATATGATCAACCACCTGAAGAAGCACATTTTGAACAACGTTCCTTCTTGTTAGGAAATCCTTGTGTCTGAGAATTTTAGCGACATATCACTTTTGGGTGCACTCATGGATCAGGTCCAGATTCCCTCCTTCAACTCCGAGGAATGCCATTGTTCCTGCTCCGGCTTCCTCTCCAGCTTCGGCATCTATTTCCTCCACCACCTCCAGTACCACTCCAAACATTGTTCCTACCATCAATCCTAACGTCAATGCTCCACCTGTCCATCCGAACAGTGCTTCAAGGGTAAGTAACCCTTTCAGTGCCTTTGTGTATGTTCCGGATAAAGAGCGAAGGAAGAAACCCCAGCCTAATAGCGAACCTGACCCTGATGACATTCTTCTATCAAGAAGGGTTCGAGCCTCTGGGGTGGGTGCATCCACAACTTCCCAAAACAGGACAACCACTACCCCTGGAACTGGTGAAGTTTTCGCTTATCCTTCTGAAGCAATTTCGTGGACTTCTCGATTCATCCGAGCGAACGGATCTGTTGTCAACTCTAACGAAACCATGTTCAAAGAGGGCCAGACCGCCCTGGCCTACTATAAACATTTGTGGTCCCCTAAAGACATTGAGGTGGCCAAAGCTTTAACCCAGAAAGAAACGTTCAGCTACTTTCCCCTGGCCGCTATGGAGGTAATTTTTCATCCCTCATTTGGTAAGATCAAGAAAGCCTTTATTCTCCGACTTTTTTGGATATACGTTCGGTTTAATTAGTATTCGTGCATCTGTTTGCAGACTCTGTTCGGAATGATGACGATGCAAGAGCATGTCGAGTCATCTAATGCTCGAGCGCGCAGGCTTGCCAATGCACTCAACTCGGCCAATAAAGAAAATAAGATCATCAACACCAAAAATGTCGAACTAATGGTGTAACTGAACAAAGTTGAGAAGGAAAAAGACGTTATGAGGAAAGAAGCTGACTCCCTTCAGGATGAGAGAAACACTCTTCAAATAGAGAAGAACGTTATGCAGACTGAGCAGGAAGCACTGAGGGCTGAAAGAGAAAATCTTCAGCGTTCACTGGATGACGAACGGGCAATGCGACTGGTTCTTGAGAAAAGAGTTTCGGATGAACGTGATGCCTTGCTCGGCATCATTGGCAGGGTCGATGGTGGAATGAGGGTTTTCCATGCTCGTTTCTCTTGGGTTGGGGCCCTCAGGTACGCGGAAGGATACAGAGACGGCTACACTAACCGTTTTCCTCCTGAAGGTCAAACCAGTTCCTATACCGGCCCAAATGATGTTGACACTGAACTGAAGATCAATCCCCCTGGAGTTTATTCTGACCCGACCCCCAATCCCTTCGAGCGTACCTTTGAGGAATGCAAAGAGATTGCATCTTCTGGGGTCATTCCTATCCCGTCATCCGATCAACCTCTAGATATTCCTCCTTTATCCGCTATAATTCCCCTTGCAACTGTTGCTGAGGGTGGAACTCAACAAAATAAGGTGATTATCCAGCTTGACTCTCCTTCTCGAGGAGATGGGGTAGTTAATGATGGTGAGGAGAATGTTGAGCGTGGTCAGGAGACTGAGGGAGCAAATAGGGCTAGTTATGACCCTGCAAATGTGCCAATATTTTGCACTGTACTCATTTCATCAGGACACTTCATTCTTGTAACTCAGAACTTATTATAAACTGAATGAAATGAATGATTTTTGACTGATTATTGTTCCAAATTTTAACATCATCTTGTTGCTTTTCCCTTTAGGCACGCATTTGGTGCTCATCCATGATAGTATTCCACTAGTTGATTTCATTTTTGCGCAAGTTTTTGGCGTTCAGCTCGTAGTGCCATTTGACACTTACTTTACTAAGTGCTTGGCGCTCGGCTAGAATGCCACTTGCCACTTTTACTTTTCATTTTGCGCAAGTTTTTGGCGTTCGGCTCGTAGTGCCATTTGTCACTTACTTTGCTAAGTGTTTGGCGCTCAGCTAGAATGCCACTTGCCACTTCACTTTTCATTTTTGTGCAAGTTTTTGGCGTTCGGCTCGTAGTGCCATTTGCCACTTACTTTGCTAAATGTTTGGCGCTTGGCTAGAATGCCACTTGCCACTTTCACTTTTCATTTTGCGCAAGTTTTTGGCGCTCAGCTCGTAGTGCCATTTGCCACTTACTTTGTTAAGTGTTTGGCGCTCGGCTAGAATGCCACTTGCCACTTTCACTTTTCATTTTGCGGTTTTTGGCGTTCGGCTCATAGTGCCATTTGCCACTTACATTACTAAGTGATTGACACTCAGCTAGAATGTCACTTGCCACTTCACTTTTCATTTTTGTGCAAATTTTTGGCGTTCGGCTCATAGTGCCACTTGCCACTTACTTTGTTAAGTGCTTGGCGCTCGGCTAGAATACCACTTGCCACTTTTACTTTTCATTTTGCACAAGTTTTTGGCGTTTGGCTCGTAGTGCCATTTGCCACTTACTTTGCAAAGTGATTTTTTTTTTTTTTGCTCAATCAACTTTTTAGACAAAATGAACTCTTTTTATAAATCTTGGAGATTCTATACATTTATAAGCATGTAACTCAAAATAAACATTGTTCAGAATAGAATTCGACTTCTACTGGTAGTATCTTTTTAGAGATGTGGCATGCCATGGTTTGCTGACCAATCTTCCAGCCATAGTCTTTAAAATATATACCCCCTTTCCTATGGCTTCCGCCAATCTGTATGGGCCTTCTCATGGTGACATCATCTTTTTTGACAATCCCCACCTTCTTTTTCAAAACCAGATCACCAGGTGCAAAGTCTCTATGCTTCACTTTTTTGTTGTGGCTATTCACGAGTGTCTACTAATAAGATGCAAGCCTTACTGCTGTTGTATCTCTTTTCTCTTCTAGCAAATCGAGGTTAAACTTCAGTATGCTATTGTTCTGCTATTGATTTCATGCTAAGCTTCGAACAGTTAGAACTAAGTGCTCGACCGATATTACCGCTTCAGTGTCGTACGCCATAGCGAATGGGCTTTCTCCGGTCGGTCGTCTTGGGGTTGTTCTATAAGCCCACAGGACGCTCGGAAGCTCGTCCAACCACTTCCCTTTTTCTTCTTCAAGCTTCTTCTTAATACAAGCAAAGATTGTTATGTTCATGATCTTAGCTTGACCGTTTGTCTGTGGATGACTGACCGTTGCCAACTTTTAATTGATTCCATACTCTTCTAGCAAATCCCTTACTTGCTTACTGTCAAGATTAGTCCCATTGTCCATAAAAATCGATCTTGGCACCCAAAATGACAAATGATATCACTCTAAATGAAACGTCTTATTTGAGTCTGGGTCACATTAAGGTATGGTTCTGCCTCTACTCATTTGGTAAAATAGTCTGTTGCAAGTAGAACATATTTGTTCTGTGATCTCGCGGTCGGCAGAGGTCTAACCACATCCATCCCCTATTGCGCGAAAGACCATGGTTTGTCCATTACGTGCAAGTCTTCAGGTGGTTGGTGGATCAATGGTCCGAACCTTTAGCACTTATCGCACTTCTTGAGAATTCTTCTGCATCTCGCGACATGTTCGGCAAAAAATATCCCTGTGTTATCACTTTATGCGCTAGAGACCTTCTTCCTGAATGATTGCCATACACACATTCATGGATTGTTCACAAGATCTGCCTAGCTTCTGTAGGGGTAAAGTATTTCAAGTAAGGACCCAAGAAAAACCTTCTATACAATTGGTTATGCACAATGGCATACTTCGCAGCGTTTGATCTAATCTTCCTTGCCTCGTCTTTGCTTTCAGGCAAAACACCGTCTCGTATGAAAGTGATGATTGGATCAATCCAACTTAGCTCATACGGTATGACATTCACTTGCCAAGGATCTGAGCCTACTGGTTCTTCAAAGATTGATGGCTGAGACAATACACCAACCGAAATCACCCTCGCCAATGTTTCTCTAGAACTTAACGCACTGCATGCTAACCGATCGGCGTCCTCGTTACGTTCTCCCGGTAATTGGATGAACTCAATTTTATCAAAGTCTTTTGCCTCACACATAATGGTGGAACGGTATGCCTCCATTGTTTCATCCTTGGTTCCATATTCCCCAGTCACCTGCCGAACGATTAGGTGCGAATGGCTAAAAGTGACTAGGCTTTTGACCCTTAGCTTTTTAGCCAACCTCAGTCCAGCCAGTAATGCTTCATATTCTGCTTCATTATTGGTTGCTCTGAACTTAAGTCTGAGCGCTTGACTTAGCGATGTGCCTTCTGGTGTCTGCAGTTTGACCCCAATTCCTGCCCCCATTTGATTCGAAGAGCCATCAACGAAAAGCTTCCATGAAGATCCTCCAGGATTTTCCTTTCGGTCTCCTATGTCACATTCCAGCATGAAATCAGCCACCGTTTGCCCTTTGATAGCCGTTCTGAGTTCATACATTACGTCAAATGAGCTCAAGTCTATGGCCCACTTTGTCATTCTTTCCAACAAATCAAGCTTATGCAGGATCACCCTTATAGGAAAAGTGGTCAGAATGATTATAGGATGGGATTCGAAATAGTGCCTGAATTTCCTCTTTGCATTCACCAATGATAGGATCACTCATTCGGCCTTCGAATACCTTCTTTTTGTCTCCATCATTGTTTTAGTGACATAGAACACTGTGAATTGCTTTCTTTCTTCACACCGTATCAGAACGGCGCTTGTTGCAATACTGGACACTCCAAGGAACATGAGAAGTTTTTCACCTGGTTTTGGGGCAATTAGGACTAGTGGGTTCCGCATATACTCTTTTAAACTGGTCTATGCCTGCCTTTGCTCATCCCCCCAAGATTGCTTTTCGTGGCTTCTTATTATATCGAATAATGGCTTGCAACGATCTGATAGCTTAGAAATGAATCTGCTCAGTGCCGCTATTCGTTCGGTGAAAGCTTGTACCTCTTTGACTGTACTTGGTTCTATATTTTTTTGCAGAGCTTCTGCTTAGGCTGGGTTGACTTCAATCCCTCTGTTGTTGACCATGTGCCCGACATCTTGTAAATGTTGCAAATAATGGTCCTTCTTTCTGCTCTTTACCACCATGTCATCAATATAGGCCTCTACGGTCTTACCCATCTGACTTTTGAAAATCTTGCTGACCAGCCTCTGGTAAGTGGCCCCGATGTTCTTCAATCCAAACGGCATGACCTTAAAGCAATAGATTCCTCGTTCAGTAACAAAAGAAGTTTTTTCCTCATCATTCGGATCTATTGGGATTTGATTGTTGCCTGAGTAGGCATCCAGAAAGGTTAGCCATTCATCCTAATCGTGGCATCCACCATTTGATCAATCTTTGGTAATGGAAAACTATCCTTCGGGCAGGCTTTGTTTAGGTTGGTGAAGTTAATGCAAACTCTCCATTTTCCATTCTTCTTTTGTACTACAACCACGTTCGAGAGCCACGACGGATATTGAACCTCTCTAATGAACCCTACTTCCAACAACCTGTCAACTTCATCAGCTATGATCTGGTTGCGCTCCAGGGTGAATCTCCTCTACTTCTGTCTTACAGGCTTGACATTCGGGTCTACATTGAGGGAATGATAAGAGACAGAGAGATCGATCCCCTGTATGTTCGAATGGCTACAAGTGAACACATCTGCGTTCTGAGACAAGAAATCAACTAATTGGCGTTTTTCTTCCTCTGCAAGCCCTGACCTTACTCTTGTGGTTCGGTTTTGCCTCAGATGATCGATTTGCACATCAACGAGAGGTTCTTCGGTAAGGACCGAAGGCTCTTCCTCCCCATTCTTGTTGGGTTGAGGCTTCTGTAATTGCTATCTTGGGCTAGGATAATGGATGGGAGCTTTTCCCTTTCGAGCGACTTTCAGAGTAGCATTCCTTTGCTGCGACCTAATCCCCATGGATAGTAATCACCTTATTCTCATCTGGGCTCAAGCATCTCATTACCTGGTGTACGGTCAATGGGACACCCTGAACCCTGTGAATCCACCCTCTCTCCATCAAAAGATTGTAAGATGGATGGATCTCGACTACCACAAAGCTTTCAATCAGTTCTCTCTCAGCAACTTAAACTAGCAATTTTAGCATACCGATCGGTTCCATTCACTTCCCATTGAATCCCAACAAGGGATTTCTAGTGGGTTTAAGCTTTTTTGGCTTGATCTCAAGCCGGTCGAACGTTATTCTTAGCAGGACATTCGCACTGCTCCCTTGATCAATTAGCACCCTTCGTACTAAACACTCTGCCACTGTTAAGTTAACGACCAAAGGATCTTCATGAGGGATCTGAACTCACAACAAATTTGTTCTGTCAAACTTTATCTGTGTTGATGCGGTGCAGAGCATTTATACTGCCTATTCTCTTCTTCATTTGTGCTTGACGGAGACGCATTAGGAGTGACTCTTCTGACTCTTTGGTCTGTTCAGGTCGGCCATGAATTGCATTTATAATCCGAACGGGCTGGGCGTTATGGTAACTTGGCTTCTAATTTCTTTTCACTTGCTCAGCCGATCGATTCTGCTCCACTGCCGGCCCTTGGACGCATCCTGCAAACTCATCCCTTGCTATCAGTATCTCTACTTGTCTCCTTCAGTTCCTGCATTAATTAGTTAGGTGACCGAAATTACTATGGAAAGCATACTGTTTGGATTGATCTCTCTATTCGAGACGTTGTCTAATTGGTAGGGGAGAGCGAAACTTATCTTTGTTTTCTTGGTACAATCTCGCCAAGGTGACCTTGAGTGGAGTGATTGTCTCCTCCTCCCTTGGCCTCTTTTCTGCCTTCCAGGAGAGGTTTGACGTTGTGGTGCAGCTTATTTCTGTCGGATCTTTGTTTTGGACTTCTCTTCCATTGAGATTATAGACGTCTTTCTGGCGTTGGCTGCTTCATTTTCTTCCAAGCGCACAAAGCCGTCAGCTCTCTCGTTCAACTCATCCATAGTGTTCGGTGTATTCACCACTAGACTCGTGTGGAACGGTGTCTCCCAGTTCATTGCTAGCTTGAACGCTTGAACCGCCGTGGATGAATGGCATTCTATCACCATGCTCTTGACAAGGTTAAATCTGGTGAGGAAAGCTTGGAGACGTTTACTATCATGCTGCTTCATCGTAAATAGACTTAAAATGTCTTTGGCTGGACGTTTGTTCCTGTAATACTGGCTTATGAACTTATTATACAAACTCCGAAAACTATCCACTGAGCCTCTAGCCAGGTTCCTGAACCAATTAAGCGCTGGTCCGGTCAGGCTTGTAGGGAAGCACTTGTATATCAAAGGATCATTCTCCATGTTCAGGGCCATTTTCAATTGGATATGGTAAACATGATCGATCCGATTGGTTGTTCCGTCGAACAGAATGAAAACTGGCATAGAAAACTTTCTTGGACTCGGAGCTTTCAGAATCTCATCTGTAAATGGTGAATCGACTGTTCATACTGCCGAGTGGAGGGCCTCATTCTCCCTTAGAATCCTTGGGAGAATCCTCTGATCTACAGATCGCCTATCTAAACTTCTGTAATCGTACGTAGTCATTGAGGGTCGGTAAGGCGGATTGAATGATCTTTCCTCCGTGAACTCTCTCTGCCAGGGCGACGTAGCCTTGTGGTGACCAAACTCCATAGCCTCTTCTCGCCTTAGCCTTTCTTGATACAGATCGAATACTATGGCTTCATCTCACTTGATCTGCTCACGATATGGATCCAAATGAATAGATCCCTCATAATCCTCCATGTAACGAACGTTTGCTGGTAAGTCACTTGGCCTGACCTCTTCATGATGAAGATCCACATGATTGTTGCCTTTTTGCTCCCCTTGGTGAGCAACATCGGCTTGCATAATTCTCTCTCCTACTGGTGGTGGTCGTGGAGCCGCTGGAGTCTCTCGACGCTCCATTCCAGCTCGCAATTTTGCATTCTCTCTTCTCAGAGCTTCAATAATGTTCATCAACTCATCAAGCTTCTTCTGCTGGCCATTCTCCTGTGGATTAGAACTCTCACCTCCTATCATCATTCCCGATCAGAGCAGAGTCATTAACTGTGAATTCTTGATCTGTTCTGAGCTTTGCTAATGCGAACGCAGTAGATCTGGTCTCGAACTAGCTGAATTCTGATCTCCCTTGGCCGGATTTGAATATTCCTACCATGAACTTCGCTAGATCTAGTTTTACTAATCAGATCGTGATTTTGCAGATCTGACTCCGATTTCCAAAGATCAACTAGAACCAAGACTCTGCAAGACAAATCATGACCTCGCCGATCTAGATCTAATTTCCAGAAACAAAGCTACTTTTTCAGGAATCAATCTTGATCATTTTCCACAGACGGCGCCATTGAAGATGTAAGAAATTTCTCCCTCGATTTAGAAAGAACAATTCTACACTTCAAGAATTTTTCCAACCTTTTTTCCCTCTACTTTCAGCCTATTTATAGACTGTTACAAACCTTCTAAAAGCTTCTTAACTAACCCCTTGAATTGGGCTTCCCTTATGGGCTCTTCTTAGTCACTGGCCTAATTCTTTTGAACGGGCCTTCAGCATGATCCTCCAGTCCTGGGTCTGACTTATGAAGACCCGAGTCGGAGCAATGCCACTTACCCGACCCGCTTCAATCGATCTGGATCATGCCCGGCCCATGCCATTTTTGGCATCCTCAGTTGCGTTTAGTAACGAGAAACGTTTGTTGTTTTCATATGTTTTTGTTTTTCATTAACAGAAAGCGTTTTCAATTTTTGTAAAGAAAAGAGGAAACATAAAAAAGATGTTTCTTATATTTTCAGCACTGTAGCGCAGAAACGTTTTCACTATTATTACTACACAAACAATATTCATTTCAAATAAAATTCATATTATTTGTGTTATATACTAAGTTGCATAATGTAGCTGTTGCGGTGCCTGTCCCTAAGGCTGTGCCAGCGTTGGTAAAGCCGGATATGTCTGTCCCTGAATCCGTGAAACCTGTGGAGCAGGTAAAGGCACTGGCGCCCTTTGCCCCTGCTACACATGCTGTCCTTGTCCCTGTCCCTGTCTTGCTGTAGGACACTACCTGGAAGTATGACCATACTCTCCACAAGTGTAGCAACTACCCTGGAAAGTACAAACGGCCTCCTCTGTCGGTTAGCCTGTGGCTGACCCTGTCCTGCCTGTGGTCCCCCATTCTGCTGTCACTGAACAGATACCACATCCCTGAGAGCATCTGAACCACCCTTGTACTTCTTCCAAGGTTGCTATCCTTGGAATTTGCCCTTGTCATTCTGTCAATGTCTGTTCCCATTCCTTTTCTTAACTAATTGGTTAGTAGAATCTCTGTCACCCCACTTCTCATCCTTGGCCTGTCTGACTAGTTGCGTCCCGGAAGAACAATGGGTCCCAGAGGGACTAAAAAAAAAACAAATTTAAGTTCCATCAAGCGTGAAAAAAAAAAAAAAAAAATCAACTTCCAGCAAGCGTGGAAGAGAGAGAAAAAAAAAAAATCAACTTCCAACAAGCATGGAAGAGGAATATATATATATATATATATATATATATATATATATATTTGTTTCCTCCAGCAAGTGTGGAGAAGAAAAAAAATAAAAAAAAATTATTTCTCCAGCAAGCATGGAGAAGGAAAAAAAAAAAAAAAGGAAGAACAAAAAAATGCGTAGAACCAAAAAAAAAAACACATGAAAAAACAAAAAGAAAGAAAGAAAGAAAGAAAAAGGAAAGAAAAAAAAAATAAAAAGAGAAGAAAAGGGAAAGAAAAAAAAAAAAAAAACAGAGAACAAAAAAATGCATGGGAAAAAAGAGAGAGAAAAAAAAAAAACAAGGAAAAAAAAATGCAAGGAAAGAAACGTGTGAAAAAAAAAAAAAAAGCGACTATCAGTTTTGAAGAAGAAAAAAAGGTTAGTAATCCTTTGTTTTCTTGTTTGGCATGTGCAGGGATTGTGCAATATGTATGGTGTATATGAATCTGGAAGCTCCATGTGACTAAAGTGAAAAAAGAAGAAGAAGTTCATGCAAGACAAAGGCTACATGTGGACAAAGATTACATGAAGAAGATGAAAAGAAAGGGACAAATAAACACTCCTCGAAAAAAAAAAAAAAAATTTCGTGATTTTATGATTAAAAAAAAAAAAAATCATGATGTGAAAAAAAAAAAAAAAAAAAAAAAAAAAAAATCGTGAAAAAAGAAGAAGAATAAGAGTGAAGAAAAAGTCATACCAATTATTTGTTTTTAAGGAGAGGCCACAATCCAACACAGTCTTCGGAGGTTGTAATCTGACAAGTGTTTAGAGACTATTGGAATTGATGTTAAACTCTATAATATTGATGGTATATATAGGCAACCAAATATCTCCTATTTGTATTGGGATTTGTATAATTTGGTAAAAGAGGAAATCTTACAATCCAAAGTTGGATAAAATAAAAAATAAAATAAAAAAAAGAAGGAAAGTTGGATACTTCAAGTTACATTTGAAAAAGGAGACAAGTCCTGTCAAACATGGGACTCGAAATGAGGGCAATTTGTAGACACTAAAATTTTAGTGGGCTTTGGTTTTGATAAATGAACCCATTAAATATGGGCCTAATGTTTAATTAAGTTATTTACTTGGCCCAAGTTTGGTCCACTTAAATTATTTAATTAGCCCAGCCCAGATGGTTAAATATAAAAATAATTATTCCTAATAAAATATATTTAGAATAATTATTTTTAAGGATAATTATCATAATATAACCGGCCCGGCCTAGTTAAGATTTTTTCCTTATCAGTAGAGGACACGTGTCACCATCTTATTAATCCAAGAAGCCTATAAATAGAGGCCTGGAGGAAGGAAGAAGGGACACAAATTTTGAGTCCAAAAATCCAGAGACTCAAAAGTCCAGAAGGTCCAGAAATTGAGAGAATCAGAAATCCAGAGAGCCAGAAATCCCGAGGGCAAACTTGAAGGCGAAGAACACCAAGTACATCCAAATTCGTGCTGTTCTTCACCAAATTCAACAAATTCTCTTCTCTCTTAAGACGAAGAACAACAAACACATCCAAATTCAGAATTCAAAAGTCCAGAAATTCAGACACAAATTTAGAATTCAGAAGCTCAGAAATCCAGAGACTTAGAAATCCAGAGATTCAGAAGTCAGAGACACAAATTCAGAATCCAAACCCAAAAGCGAAGAACAACAAGCACATCCAAAGTCGTGCCGTTCTTCATCAAATTCCACGGTGATTTAAGAACAAGCTCGTGCAGCCCTTGGATCCAATCAACAACTAAAAGGAGATCGAATCAGAGGACCATTCTTTTTGTAAAAGATATCACAAAGGATTGTACTCCAAATATTTCTGATTTAATAAATTATTATTTTGCCTATATTTTGTCTTTATTGCAGAGTAGAAAATTTGTGTGTACAAATTTCTGGCACGCCTGGTAGGACGTCCTCTGCCTCTCATCTCTTTCTCCTACATCAAATCCTCGACAAATTCATCATCAGATTCTATGACTTCCAATAAGATTCAGACGAAGAGCAAGAATACTACCAAAGACGTCGCGGTCATGACGGACAACATTAATACCATCATAAAAGGTGGCAAGAAGGTTGCAACTTCATCAAGTGGTACAAACACCTCTGCAAGTTCAATGATGTGGAGTATGGTCAAATCATCCGTTCCTGCCAAAAAACAGCACGATGTGATGAGAGTCAATTCTGCCAAATCTGTCAAAGTAATAACTCAAACTCATACTGCCTTCACCTCACTGGGGGAAAGGAGGAAGGTTCCTACAACCTCAAAGGTTACTTCAGTCACAAGTTCAAGTTCCACCTCGCTGGGGGCAAGGAGGAAGGTTCCTACAACCTCAAAGGTTGCTCCAGTCACAAGTTCAAGGCTAGTCCACCCAAGGCCAAAGATTTTTTCTGACTCCATCACTATGCCAGTCATGATGACGAGTACTACCTCGTATAAAGAACAATTGACGACTATGGCCTATGCAATTGAAAGATTACAACACTCTCTCAAGGAGCAAGATCTGAAAATTGCCTCGTTGACAGAAAAGTTAAAATTGCGTGACGATAATGCTGAGTCCAGCAAAGGCCGAATTCCTCATTCTAATTCTATGCCAGAGAACACTCCAATTAATAATCAAAATGACGTGTCCGCCAATCCAACAATTGAAGCTGCCTTTGTCACCTCACTTTCTGTCCAACAACTTCAAGGCATGAGACAATAGCGTTCCTCAAAGTGCTCGCATGTACTTAAAGCCTTACACAGAAAGAATTGACATCTTAAAAATGCCAGTTGGGTATCAACCTCCAAAACTTCAACAGTTTGACG